TTTAAATAATAATAATAATAATAATAATAATAATAATAAGTCAGCATCCTATTTGAGTAAAAATTCAATATATTAGCGATATTACGTCAATACACGAGCAATAGTAATTTACTATGAGTCCAGTTTCTATGTAGTGCTAAAAAAAATAAGAGTAAATTACAAATAAATTGTTTAATAATTTTTTTTTTAAATTTATAATTATAGAAATTATAAATATTTTATTGTAAGAATTTTTATTTAACAAAATTAATAGAAAAAAATGCTTAACTATTTTTCTATACAATAATAATATTATCAAAATTATTAATTAAGATAGATTTATAATGTTATTAAAATATTAATTGATTTAATAATTTATTAATAAAATAAATCATTTATTGTACGATTGAAAATTTAAAACAACGGAATGTAAAATTTTCGCAATTCATATTTTCTATTTGTAAACTCTTCTATTTGTAATTTGGAAAACGCTTTGAATAATCAATTTTGGACCCCTAAACTAACCACAAGTAATGTGTAATAAGTCACATCACTTAAGAACCCATTAAATCTTAAAAATTATCTAACAAATGCTTGCCATATTACTAGGTTGATTTTGGAAGTCCAAAATTAGTGAGATGCAGCATTACTCTTTCTCCTCCTCTTATTCGCGGCCACAAACCGTAGAGTCTTTCAGTCTTTGAATGTAACCGATGAACAATCTGAGATAGTCTCCACTTCCTCAAATTTTTTATATTTTTCTATCGATTTGATTTTCCCTCAATTCATTGGCAATTTTGTATCTCTAATCTACATATGCATATATATTCGTGTTAATTGGTGGGTGTATGATTCGGGGATTTTTTGAGTTTTTGATGATTGAGAGCATAAACCAAAATACATATAAAAAGCATATATGTAACATATAGAGACCTGAACTAGTTATAAATATTTGATGACAATACAACAAGTACAACCACTTTCATGCTTTTCCTAGCTTAAAATTATAGTTTCAGAAAAGAAAACTAAGGGGGGAGAGGAAAAGTGAGGGAAAGAAAATTCTTCAACATCAAAATAACATACATACGTGGCTTTATTTAAGAATCATTTCTTCATCTATCCTCATGCCTTTGTCCTCTAACCCCAAGAAATATGTTTCTAAGCTTGTGTTGTTCTTTGAGAACATCTTTCACACTCATTCTTTCACTTGGCATTTCAACAGAACATAAAACTCCAATTTGGAAGACTGGTACTAGGCAAGCCTTTAGTTTCGAAATGTTAGTTGTACTACTTTGCATGCTCCTACCTGGCTCCTCTTCCATTTCCAATATGATTTGGGGATCAATGATCTTCATTACTTGCTCCAAAAGACACATTTTTACATAGCTATGGAGGTTTACATTACCTATAAACATGTTACTAGTTGGTCCTTTTCCTGTGGACATTTCTAGCAGTAACATTCCATAACTATACATATCACCTTGTGTTGATACCTCCTCACCCATGCCATACTCTGCAATATGAAATGGTGAAAAAAATGCCCAAAATTTTAAATTTTGGTATGATTGTTGAACTAGTAAGTTGTATTTCTTTTGTTGAAAAAAAAAAAAAAAGTCCAGCATTTCAAAAGATAAAATTATCTCAACGGTTAAAATCTACGTTCAAATACCATAGGGGTAGGATAATTGTTGATTTAATTTGTTGTGGTAGCTATACAAACAATAAGGCAAAGTCAAGGAAAGGCATCTCTAATCTCGTAATTGGTTTTTAGTTCACCGCAAGATAATCATATAATGTAACTAAATAGTATTTCTTAATCAATTTCAACGTAAGAAGCAATAAACAATTACTTGGGGCAACATAGCCAATTGTTCCTCTGATCCCAATCGAACTTGATTGCTGATGAATAGAAATTTCATTGGTTGTTGAAAAAATCTTTGTCAAGCCAAAATCACTAACATGGGCACACAAATCACAGTCAAGAAGAATGTTACTTGGCTTTAAATCACAATGAATAAAATCCATTTCACAATGGCGATGAAGATAATCCAATGCATATGCTACATCAATGGCAACGTTTAGCCTTTGAACATAATTCAAGTTCTTAGGTTCATGTTACTCTAAAAGACTTGGGTGTAACCAATTTTCTAAGCACCCATTTTCCATGAATTCGAAGACCAAAGCCTTGAAGTCATTGCCTTTAAAGGTCAATGCTTGAGCAAGCTGTAATTATCTTGACAAGATTTCGATGGTGAATGTTCTTCAATGCTTGTAAGGGTTGTTGTTATTGTTGAAAAAATGTATAAAAACTGCATTGAAATATGTAAAGATATTTTGAGATATGTGAACAGTGTATTAAGATTAGAGTAAATTACATTGATAGTCCTTGCAATTTGCTTATTTTATCATTTTGGTGCCTATAATTTCAAATAGCTCAATTTCGACATTTAATTTTAAATTGTGTTAAGTTAGTCAAATTGATAATGTCGATTAGGTTTTTAAGAAAAATGGTCACTAAGGTAGTTGAAATTAACTCATTGAATTGAACACATTTATAATTTTGTATATAAAATCATAATACGTGTTGCTTATGTATAGATTTTCTTTCAAAAAAGTACTAACAATTGCAATAAATTGGATTAAATTGAGACAAAATTATAAATTTAATATCAAAATCGAGCCAATTGAAATTATAAAAATCAAATGACAGAATGACAGAAATATAGGACTATCGGTGTAATTTGTCATTAAGATTATAAATATTCTAATATTTTGTGCATCATATTGACAACTCTTAGAACTACCATTAGTAGGACCAACCAACCATGAGCTATTTATGAACGATTTAGTTTGTTTGTAGAAAATTTTTGGAATTAGGTAGAAAGAGGGAACAAAATTATGGAAAAATTATAAATCATGGTGCCTTACACAAAATATTTACAATTCATGAAATGTTTATCATTGATTTAATTTTATTTTTGAAAACAATGCAATTTGCACATGAATATACTAGTACACAATGTGATTATGTGTATACCCATTTTCCACATGAATCCATGATCATGTTGTCTCATTTCTCCAACAAAGTGGCCACATACCTCTCATATGGGAGTTTAGATCCTCCAGAGTTCCTTCTCTAGAGTGATCTCTCTATAGTTCGATCCAATGGCTGAAATTAAGAGAAACCAAAATTACGTCATTTTGATTAAGTCTGAAAAAACAAAAACAGCGCAGAACAAAGAGAGAGACAGAGAAGAGACCCCTCATTTCCCTCTCAATCGACAGAGGGAGTCCTTTAGTGGTGCAGCGGATTGAAGATCTGGACCCAGAATTTTCTATTTCCTGATGTAGTTGCATTGTGTGTTTTCGTTGGGTTGCTATTGTTATACTAACTTGCAATTTGAGATTTTTTTATTATACTAGTTGGACCCCCACCCGCTACACACGTGGGGGTCGCATTATTGTTGGTAGAAATAATAAGAGAACAAAATTGAAATTATTTTTTTTCAAAAAAATCCCCAACACAAAAGACACACTGTTTCTTCTTTTCTATTGAATAATTATAATCACATTTTACATTTAACGAAATTGGGAACCAAAAAACAAGTCAGTCCCTTGTCCTAGAAAAAACGAAAATACTTTGTGGATTAGTTAAACAATTTTTTTTCCCTTCTTGCATCCAGCCAATACTTTGTCAAAGGTTACGCGTATGGTTATCCTCCACTGGTCATGAATTCCCCGTATCAAGAAGATTTGCAAATTAGAAAGGTATACTCATTCAGTAACCTAGTAAATTAGTATGGAAGAATTCTTCAAATCTCCTATAAGCAGCTCTTGTGAGTAATGGGCATATGTATGGCCATGATTTCTCGAGTCAAATGGATGTTGCAACCACCTCTTTTTATTAGCATGTGCTTGTGGAAATAGTCCAATAAAATTATTAATCCGATATTTGGTTAAACAATTGAAGTACGGACTAATTATTTTAAACTTGATTATTAGTTAAGATAGGATACATAATCCAACGGATTCGTAGTCCTAGGACTATTAGTCATGGGAATGCTAATCCAGTCCGCCCAAACAAACATGGCCAAAGTGAATAAAAATACCCAACAAACAAAAATATAGTCTAACTTGGTGAATTTTGTATGTTAATTGACATACAAAAACACCGCCCCTTATTGAGAACTCAAGTTTCGCGCAAGTTGCTTAATCCATTGCTTGTTGCTTTCAAGCTAGAGCCCGGCTCCACTCCAAATTCACCATTGCTTGAAATTCACATTTTCCATCTTATCGTATTGATTCTATTTTTCATATTTCTTTATTTTCCTCAATCTTTACCATAACAGACCTCAACGGATAGGTTTAACTAGAAGATCCAATAGCTGGTTCATTCATTCATTTTGTCTAAAGTAGGTATGACCTTTTGATGAATGACTGTCAAACAAAAAAAAAAGAAAAAAAAGAGACAAAAGTTAACTAAAAAAATTCATTCTAAAGTTATTGATTTTATTTCTAAACTTATCACTTAAATAGAAAACTTAGGTGTGGATCATGTTTTGATCATTACCCCAATTTCATTGTTGGACAGAAATGGTTCATGAAGACTTATATCATGCACTTGCACCAATGGACTTGATTTTCACAAGCTTTCAATACTAACAGATGAAGGTCATCAAGGTTTAGAACCTAAGAAAAAGACAATATATCAAACAATGAACAACAGAAAAAAAGAGAGGAAATTATTCAAAACACAAATAACAATATTTTATTATCTTAAACAAAGTCTGACAAGTGATTTTCTTAGCTTATATTTTTTCTTGGTGGTTATTAAATGGCTACTGAAATTTGGATTATGCCTAATGACAGCCTAATGAGCTGTCAATTAAAAAAAGAAAATGAAAAATGGAGGGATCTTTCCAATCAATTCTGTCACGATACAGTATCCAGGGGCAGCACGTTAACAATGGCTTGACTATAGTCATTATGACAAGAAAGAAAAAAAAAATTGTTTTGGTAGATGTACAAACCTCTCCAGCTGGAAGACGAAGGTGTTCAGACCATAGCGTAAGGCGAAGACTCGAAGAAAATTTTCCTGCCTTCCAAGGCTTTCCTCCCATACATGAATCAACAAATTCTTTGTCTTCAATAAGTACACCAATCTGAATCAACAGCATTTTTGTTTACAACTAAGAGAAACTACTACAAAAAAGTGGAGGAGATTTGTAAATTAAAATGGAAGGGCATATCATGATAGATGTGTAGTTTGTCAAGAAGAAGAAGGAGTTGCCAGTAATATGATTGGGTGTAACTAAATGGAGAAACAATTCAAGAAGTCAGTAATAACAACAAAATCCCGTGTGTTAAGAACAGCAATCTGAAAGTAAAGAGTTGTATCTACTACTTTAGTTATTAATTTGTACATTTTAAAGGGGTAAAAAAAAATTTGAATTGTTCAACAACTTGTATTGAGAAATTGTGACTTATCAATCCATCTGTGAAAGTAGTTCTCGCTTGAACCAAAAAAAGGTAATACTCATATAATGCAGATGCAGCAAAAGAACTCAAAAATAAGAAAGTTATCACAAAAATCTATCTAGTCTTATAGTCTGTAGATCAGATGATTCCACCACTCTTCTGATTGCCTCTCCAATCATTATGCAAAGAGTGTCAATGGCTCACTTCACAATTATTTATTTTATTTTTTTAAAAAAAGGAACAAAGAGAATCCACAGATGCAAAATTTTCAAAAGATGAAAATTTTTCCAACTTGCAGACTATATATTAAGAACCAAGCATTATTTTTTTCCCAAAAAAACCTACAAATTCGCACAGAAATTCTTTGCCCCACCTTTAATACAGAGCTCATGTTTATAGTTTCTGAAAGCAAGGGTAATGAAAAATAAATGAGTTCCATTATGCAATCAACAACGAGATAAATCATACTGTTTCCGGTTTTGCAATTTTAAACAGCTGACCAAAGAATGGAAAACATTAATGCAAAAGGATCCAAAAGTTTAAGTTGATACCTCAGAATCTCTTGATCCAAGTAAACTCCTGTCATTCATATTAGATGATCCTATCAAGGATATACAGTCATCAATCATCATGATTTTGCTATGCACATATATCTGCAGAAACATAAGAATGCAAAATGAGATATGAATATCTTCTCTCCATACCATACTTCACATGATCCGTTTCCCAAATTTGGTTTTCTAGTTTTTGTATCTAATACCAAACAATTGAGCAGTGAAAGCATGTTCGGAATAAGGTAGTAAACAACTTCTACCAAAAACAAAGTAAACAAATCGAGGGGCAAAAAAAAAAAAAAAGAAACATAAGGAATGCTCTTTTTGGAATTTTAGCGAATAGCTGGCATGCTTCTGTCAATTGAGTCAACGAACTTGAGAATCACTCTCTCCAAAACCTAACTAAAGAATGTAATTGTTGCCTATCAGCTGGGGAGGAAACAAAAAATTTTAAACACTAACAGATATTCTATTTATTGATGCAAAAATGGATTAAGAAATTAAGATAATGATACTAAATTAAGAGAAACAAATGAGGTACATACCAGAGGGGGGTAAGAGACAGCAAAAGGCTTTTCCCTGAATTGAAGATCTGTAACAATTGATGGATGAGGGTTTCATGATGATTGAAAACGAAATTCAGGAGCCACCGCCAAGAGTACGTAGAAAATGAATTCCAAACTGTAAGCATACAGCGTATATGTGTTCACCGCCAAACTGGAAGCTTTCCAGAGCACAGATAGGAGCCCTGGGTTGGCTTTATAGGCAGTTCACTGAAACAGAAAACAAAAACAAAAAATATATCCTCTTTCAACTTTATCTTCTTCCTCTTTTTTACAAGAAAACAGGGGGAGGGTTGAAATTCATTAATGAAAAGTAGTGTTAAGGAATGTGTCATCCGAAGCTCACAATTGGGTTTCAATCAGGGCTAACCTCCTTTCTCTGCATTGAATAATGTTCTCAAGACCTGAGAAGGAAAAAAAAAAAAGGGGTAAGAAATTAATCAATTAAAGGTAAATGTATTGGATGGAGTAGATGAAGTGAAAATGACATTTTCTTTTATGTTGCTAAAAAATATCAAGCTTGGCTTTTAGATTGGTTCATGAAGAAGGATAGTTTCTTGGTGCTTAATGAGTCAGGTTTGGGATCAACTTGAAAAATCAAAGAACTCTAGAGCTTAAACCCAAGTAACTCAATGTGCTCCATATATAGTATTCCAGCTATGATTACAGTCAACAAATATGGCCTTATTGACACTTGTGTTGCCTTTCTTGATTCAGTGCCTTGGAGAATTCACTATAATTATGCAAACCTGTAATACAAGAATTTGTGTTTCTAATGATGAAAATGGAAGAGTTTAAAAAAAAAAAAATTAAAAAAATGGATGAGTTTGAAAGTATTCTTGAAAAAAAAAATGTAATTTGCAATATTCATATCCTTTGGTATCAACTATGCGGCAATAAAACAAAAGAAGTTTTATTTTACTAAGATCTCTCCATATCTAGGCAGATTTAGATCCTAAATTGACTTCAGGGTTAGCTTTGTTGTTCTACTAAAAATCTTTTGGAAGGACTGTTTATTGTTGGCACTGAAAGAGTTCTAAATTGCTAACATTTACTATTTCACTACAGATCATATAAAAGCAGTCCAAGTAAGATTGCAAAACATCCAAACTACCTCACAAATGTGACCTAAGATCATGACAATTAGATATTGCATGCATGAGGAAAGCAACTAAGATTAAAAGATTTGAAATTTACCTCTCGCACCAGAATTAAAATCTTTGAACAGATTACTTGAGGAACAATGGCTTCTCTAATCTTTTCATTCACAGTGAAAATCCAACTAAAATTATGCTTAAAAGGTAAATTGAACTATGTTTAATATCATTAGCAATACAAAAAAGGTAAATTGAAAAACAAAAGAAAAAAATTGTAACCCATTTGAATTGGCACAAAACAAACTCTAAAAGAACACTTTGGAATTGAATGTTGCATCCACACAAGACTAAACACAACTTGATGCATTTACAAAGTTACAAACATTCAATTTTTAAATTTTTTTTTGGTAATTCAAATTTTATTAAAACACAAAGAAAACTAATTCAAATTATATTCAAACAAACTCCAAGCAACCAACAAAACCAAAACACGGAATTTTCAATATCTCGGGCAAATTACTATTTTGTTTTACTGAATGCTCACTAGAACAAAGGCCAGATAATTGTATTAAGATCAGATGAACTATTGTCTTCTCTTCTTTTGTTAAAAAACTATTGTCTTCCTATTCCTCTTAATGGTGCTTCAACATCAACTACTGACTACTCATTTAAAAACAACAATTTCAACTGAAACTTAAAATGTTGAGGCACAAGTAGGAATAAGGGATTCATTTACAGATAATAATAAGAACTTCAAACCAAAGCACAAATGCATGAACAGTAATTTGAACAAAAAACAAATTCAATTCAATGTCGGCACTAACCAAGCTCATAAACAGACATCTGAAAACAATTTTCAATGAAGCAAACATAGGACAATGGAATTAAGAAATGGAATTCACAGCTACTTGAATATGGAAGTTGAGGAATGTCATGCCTCTTGTTTCTTGGACCAAACTCAGAGTAATTTGCAGCAAGGCAACAGTTTACACCTCCTAAAATAGCAGAACTTATGGAAGAAGTCTGAGTGGAAAGCTGCAGCAACACACGTGGGAAGAGGTGATGAACAACTTGCTGGAGAAGACCCAACCGATGGAGATCTTGCTCAGCAATCTTCAACAAGGGTGAATTTTCCATTTCACCTGGGTTAGACACACTGCTGTTAGAGGGAGATTTTCCTGCTTTTATAGGTAGGTTATGGACTAGAAGATTGTTGCTAGCATTGTGTTTTTTTATTTTTTTAACACTTTCTACTAGTAAATTTTTGTTTTCCTCGTAATAACGATTATTCATATTTCCCATTAGCTATATACATTGATCAAGTATTGGTTTTGCATCTAACTAATATGTCACTGATACCATTACACCATCAGGTTACGTTTTAGATTAATATATGATGAGAGTGAAATCAACATAAATGAAACATTTTTCCCGTTGCTCAATAATTTATATGAGTGATATTGGTTAGTATGTGATGTATGATAACTTCATAATCCATCATATTATGAGCTAAATCTTTTTTTTTTTTTTTTGTTTTTCTCTTTTAGCTTCTATGGTATCAGTTTTTTGTTTTGAGCCAAGCTCCCTTATGTACAATAGAACTACTAGAGAGCATAAACCAAAAAACGAAACTATGACAAAACTAGATAGAGAGGGCATACATATAAACATATAGAAACCTTAACTAGGTATAAATATTTGATGTCAATGCCACAAGAACAACCACTTTCATGCCTTTCCTAGCTTAACAACTACAAATTCAGAAAAGAAAAGAAGGGGGAGAAGAAAAGTGAGGGAAAAAAAATCCTATAACATCAAAATAACCTACATATGTGATTTTACTTGAGAATCATTTCTTCTTCCATCCTAATGCCTTTGTCCCCTAACCCCAATAAATACATTTCTAATCTTGTGTAGTTCCTTGAGAACATCTTTCACACTCATTCTTTCATTCGGCATTTTAGCAGAACATGAAACTCCAATTTGAAAGACTGGTACTAGGCAAGCCTCTAGTTTAGAAATGTTGGTTGTACTACTTTGCATGCTCCTACTTGGCTCCTCTTCCATTTCCCATATGATTTGGGGATCAACGATCTGCATTACTTGCTCTGGAAGACACATTTGTACGTAGCTATGGTGGTTTACATTGCCCGTAAACATGTTATTAGTTGGTCTTTTTCCAGTGAACATTTCTAGTAGTAACACTCCATAACTGTACATATCACCTTGCATTGATACCTCCACACCCATACCATACTCTGCATACAATATGAAATAGTTAAAAAAAATGCCCAAAATTTTTACTTTTGGTATGATTATTGAACTAATAAGTTGCATATCTTTTGTTGAAAAAAAAAGGAGTTCAACATTTCAAAAGATAAAATTATCTCAGGGTTAAAATCTATATTCAAATACCATAGGGGTAGGATAATGGTTGATTTAATTTGTTGTGGTAGCTATACAAACAATAAGGCAAAGTCAAGGAAAGTCATCTCTAAAACATGGCTTAATTTCTATATAATCTCATAATTGGTTTTTTAGTTCACTGCAAGATAATAATATAATGTAACTGAATAATATTTCTTAATCAATTTCAACGTAAGAAGCAATAAACAATTACCTGGGGCAACATAGCCAATTGTTCCTCTAATCCCAATTGAACTTGATTGCTGATGAATAGAAATTCCTTTGGTTGCTAAAAAGATCTTTGCCAAGCCAAAATCACTCACATGGGCACACAAATCACGGTCAAGAAGAATATTACTTGGCTTTAAATCACAATGAATAAAAGCCATTTCACAATGATGGTGAAGATAATCCAATGCACATGCCACATCAATGGCAATGTTTAGCCTTTGAACAAAGTTCAAGTTCTTAGGTTCATGTTGCTCTAAAAGACTTGGGTGTAACCAATTTTCTAAGCTCCCATTTTCCATGAACTCGAAAACCAAAGCCTTGAAGTCGTTGCCTTTAAAATCAATGCTTGACCAAGTTGTAATTATCTTGACAAGATTTCGATGGCGAATGTTCTTCAATGCTTCACATTCTGTAACAAAACACTTGTTCGCTCCACATTCGTGTAGTTTGAGCACCTTCAAAACAACAATTTGTTCATCGGAGTTGAGAATCCCTTTATAAACAGAACCATATCTTCCCTCACTAATTAAGTTGGATGGAGAGAACCCATTTGTTGCTTGAAAAAGTTCTCCAAAAGATATTTGCAAATATTGGTTTTGCAAAGGCAAGGCTAATTTGATTTGCTGTCTTGACCTTTTGTTTCGGTAAATAAAAGCTAAAATGCACAATGATAATACAACAATAGTGAGAGTAACTATTAGAACTATTACTCTATGGTTGAAAGGTCGTTTCCATTCATTTAAGACTTGTATTGGGCATGCAGGCAATTGCAATAGTTTAATTCCTCCGCATAGCTTACAATTTCCAACAACGGAGAAGGCACTAATGTTTGTGAAAACTCCTCCATTCGGAACTTCACCATCAAACATATTATAGGAAAGATTGAGATACTAAAAGAACCGAAACTCCCCAAGAAACCCTGGAATCTGTCCAGACAAGTTGTTCCTAGAAACATCTAGTTCTTGAATACCTTTCAATTACCTGAAGGCCGTCGGAATTGTACCTTCAAAAAGGTTACTGTCACGACCCAAACCCGGCCCTATGGGTTTAGCACCGTAACCGGCCAGTAATCCGAGATTACCGAAGGCCTGCAGAACAGTAATACTGTAAAACAGAGTACAGGGCCTGGCGGAAGCCAATACAGTAATTAAACAATGCCCAATGAGCTGTGACAGTCTGTATGCCAAAAAGATTTTTCATGCATTCATACATATACAGTACAGAACAGTATACATAATATTCACATCCACTTAACTAGGGACTCAGTCCCACATAACAGTACAGAAAACATTCCGTCTGTACAACACAGTATACAAAATTAACAGTCACACAGTACAGGGACCTAATCCCTGTATAACAGTACAGTAAACAGTCAGTCTATACAAAACAGTGAAACAGTACAAAATAATAGACAATGGAATCTCTCCAGAGATGTTATTTTTGTCAACCAGGAGGATTTCCAACATGGAGAGTTTTCCAATGGAATTTGGAATACTACCTGTAATCATGTTATCATCTAGAAAGAGGCATTGCAAATGTACAAGGTTTCCAATGCCAAGAGGTATGCTTCCAAATATATAGTTGTCTTGTAGAATGAGCCAAGTGATCTTGGTGGAGAGATTTGCAATAGAATGAGGCAAGAAACCTTTAAATTGATTTGAAGCCAAAACCAAAATTCGAAGATTGGAACAATTGGACAAAGAAGTGAGGAAGCTCATTAATTCATTAACTTGCTCTGTTCCAAGTGAATTGTTATTAGCAGCAAAAATTTCTAAAGCATCAAGTCTTCCCAGACTTTTAGCCATGGACCCAGTAAAAGAATTGCTGCCAAAACTAATTTGCACAAGTCTCGTAACATTGGCTATCGACGATGGAATTTGGCCATAGAATTTGAAAATCCTAAGTGATTCGTGATTAGATCAAGATTCAAATATTCCAAAACCCAAAAATCCAAAACACACAATCTAAATCAACAAGCACTTACGAAAGTGATTTAGATTGTTTGTTTTTCAGAATAAATAATAAAACGACGCAAACGATTTTTACGTGGAAAAAACCACAATTGGACACCTCCAACTGTGATTAAAAAACCACGGGCGAAACGCCACTTATCAATCCACTACTGAAGTAAAAAAGATTACAAAGATAACATACAAATTACCCAACTCCGTCAATTTGTCTTCGAATCTTCTGTAACTCTTTCTTCACGACTTCTTCTCGGAACTGATCAATCCTGAAGTTGATTCCACAACCTCACTTGTCGAATTAACGACTACGTATAAAATCAAACGCCTTTTGAAACTATACACTTGAATCTTCAGAATACACCGAAGAGAATTCTCTCTTGAATTTAAAGTAACCAACTCCTTGATGTATGTATCTTAGATCATGATTGAAGAACTCTTCTCAAAACATCAAGGAAAACTCCCAAAACAACCCAGAATAAACCTTTAAACAAACCCTAGGACTTTTGAATAAGATCTAGAAAAAGTAAAACTAAAACAGACCCAACAAGCGAATATATAAAATCTGGGATCGCGCGGTCCGCTCGAGCGTGGGTATTCCCACTCGAGCGGTGACTTCAAATTCTGCGATTTCATACAGGCTCCACGCTCGAGCGGAAGTTTCCACGCTCGAGCGTCGAATCACACCATCCAGTATTTCTCAGGCGACTGCAGAGATGCTGAGAGCTTCCAATCCCCGCTCGAGCGTCACTTTCCCAGCTCGAGCGGGAAAACTAAAATAAGAAAACCTGGAAAACTGAAACCTGTAACAACCTTGGTTTTGATCCATGGATTTTGACAACAAAGGGTCCTAACAATCTCCCCCTTTGTCAAATCCCAGACAAAACCATTCTAAAACAGTTATCCGAACAAAAACACAAAAGAACTCAAACGATATTCCAAACTAATCTAAAAACAATGTTCCAACATAAAGCCAAATCAAAAAAAACAACACCACCAACGACGATCCAAATCCATGCTTGTGAACAACTATCCTAAAAGAAAAAAACCACACACAAAGCAACCAAAAATATGTGGAACTGGATTAGATGGATGAAATAAGAAATAACCAATGACAAGGCAACAAAAAATCATTCAAAACAAAAAAAAACAATCCAACTGTACCAAAGAAGGATAAACATCAACTGTACCAAAATCATCCATCATCCAAAACATGTACTGTACCAAAATCATCAATCATCCAAAACATGTACCATGTATCACTCCCCCGTTTTGGCCGGGAGGGAACAAAAGTAAGAGAAACAAAACAAAATAACAAAGAACAAAGATCACGAAGCCGGAGGATGAGACTGCATCTAAAGCAAGGTCAAGATCTGAGCCAACTGGGATGAAGACTGTGCCACAGAATCCTCAATCCGCTGGGAAGAAGCCTCCAAGGCACTGAAACGAGCATCGGTAGTGGTCTCAAGATCTGTGAGTCTGGCCTCAAATATATCCATCTGTGCCTCAAGATGGTGAAACCGGGAACCAACAGAGCGTTCGAGGAACTGAAGCTGACCACGAACTGTACGAACTGGTGGGTGCTGCTCCCCCTCACCAAGATCTCCACCAGCAGCAGCATCAAACTCGGCCTCCTCTGCCATGGCCTCAGCAGCACTGGGACCTGCACCAGATCTACCCGAACCAGAAGGAACCCCCCTAATGTGAGACTGACTCTGGGAGACAGTCTTTTTGGTAAACGGACGGGAAGAAGAAGCAAATTCGTCCTCATCAAAGGCAGGGACCTTTATTTTTGCTAAAAGGCGGTTAATGAGGCAGCCATAGGGTAAGCCAAGATTACTACGCTCAAAAGGTGCAACCATCTTTTGAATGATAAGAGCGGCAAGATTGATGGGACGGTTTTGGGCAATACACTGAAGAACAAAGCCTTGATCCTGGTTAATCTCAGAACAGGGGTGGTAACTATGATATTGGCACACACAATTAAGTTGAGTAAACGAAATTGTGGAAGAAGTTCATTCTGTTTGATCAAGGAACCAGAAGGCCAAGAACGAGGACAACCACAAAGAAACTGAGCAACCTCATCAAAATCACACGTAGGGCGCACTGGAATAGGGTAAAAAATAGGAAATCTCTCACGAATCCCTAAAAGCTCGCGGATAAGGTCAGAGGTAACAGTGATTTCCTTGGACCTAACCCAGGTCTTAAAAGATGTTCCAATGTCATTAAGACCATCCATATTGCAATAAAATTCCCGTACCCAAGTAAGATTTTGTGACCCAGAGAACAAAAGTACTTGATCCCCACCCAAAGAATCAAAGAAAGATCGGATAGAAACGGACTCAAAGGTGGAGGTTTGGACATTTTGTTCAAGATGGATGGAGCGGGAGGAGTAGGACTCGCGGTATAACTTCGCTTTTTCAGCAGAGGGGAAGCGTTCAGTGTTATATGTAGGGCGAGAGGCTGTAGACTTACGTCTTTTGAAGATGGACATGACTAAACAGGACAAACAACCCCCAACCCAATACAACCAAAAACCAACAAGGACAAGAAAAACATTAGTAACACAGTGATATAGCAACATGAGGCAATAACAGAAACCAAGAATGCAAAAATGTATGCAGCATGGTGAGGGACTTATAAAAAATATCAAAGAACACAAGATACTAGAGGTAGACTAAAATCCCCAATTTCAAAAGCAATCAAACACTAGGCAAAGTGCCCAAAATACTAACCCTAGATGCAAGACGTGGACAGTACAGCATTACTAACTAATCAAGAGCAACAATGAGGGACCTTCAACAAGATGAATAAAAAAAAAACTCAACAGACCCATCGACATACTGAAAACCAACTCAAAAAAAAATACGAAGACATCAAAAAAAACAGAGAGCCGACAAGATCAAAGGAGAAGGAGAGAAGAGACAAACCTGAGATGTGAAAACTCACGAAGAACGCCAAGGAGACACCACGGAAGAGCAGAGGACGGGAAGCGCAACCAAAGAAAACCTAGGAGAAAGAGAGCACAGAGGAAAAAATGAACTGAAAGGACGAAGGAGGGAAATAAATACAAAACCAGTCCGCTCGAGCGTGCTATTTGCCGCTCGAGCGTGAGACAAAACACGCAGAGACCAGCTCGAGCGGGAACACAGACGCTCGAGCTCCAATTCACCCCTCTCAGAACTGTAAGGCAGAGAGTAAACTACTGCAAGGCTCAAAACTACGCTCGAACGTCAAAAGGGCCGCTCGAGCGAGAATTTTTTTTTGTTTTTTTTAAATAAAAACAAAAAACTCAATAACAAGAAGTGAGACCCGAAACAAAAGTAGATGAGCACATTCAGCCAGAATTGAATACTAAGATGAGATAATCCGTAATTCATAAAGTTTGGAAACTTGCAGTTGTAAAAAAAAATGACACTGAACATCATGAGCAAAGCAGACAAAATATAATCAGTGATCATAAGCTACATGAGAATGTACAACTCAAAAACCAATATGAGAGCACACATAAAAAGTGTGTGTGTGTAATCCATGAGAGGTCACTGAGCTAGAGTTAATCCTAGTAGTGATCGGATGGCTGGACCTCCATCAAGAGTAACTCAACAATACAGAGAAAAGTCAAACCACTAGGAATCACGGGGTATTTGTTGAGTAAATGCGGAGGCTCCCCTTCAATCAATGAGTCCCATTTTTTTTATTTATATATTTATTTTTTTTTTTAAAACATTTTCTTTCTTGTGGGCACTCACTGGTGGCTTTCACTCTCAAGAGTATGGAAACCAAACCAGAGAAGAATGAAATCATAAAGGATGGCCTGGTTGGTGCCTCTGAGGTAGCCTTTTCCTAATGCCCGGACTTCAAGGAACTGAGGGAGAAACCGTGGAAGTGAAAACAGATGGTAGATGGTTAAGAGACTCAACATCACCCATGATATGCTAGTATCGGTCAATTCCACTGTAAAAGTACAAGAAACACTGTTAGTGGTCCATAGAGAACTTTGATCACATGTGCGGAAACCCCT